GAGTGTTGGTGGCGGCAGCGCCTCCCGTGGTAACATGAGTGTTCCCCGAGATGCCAGGCAGCAGCACTATCTTGCTGGAGAGCAAGCCTCCACCGCCTACGGCGGCACCGAGAGAGCCCGTCTGCTGGAATTTCGCCGGGGGTTTTGGTCTGCCGGCCACGCTGGGTGGTCGTGATATCCATGTAGGTGTCCATGATGTCGTGTTTTCCGCGGTTTGTGTTGTGTCGTGTGTGTTGTCTCGAAGTGAGCGCTACAACTCACGGACGGCGTCATTTTTTTTTACACAAGTTGCACAAGTCCACGTCACACGTTTAAAATGACTGCACACAGGTTCCAAGTTTTTGAAAGACAAATGTCCAAAATTTTGACAAAAAAGTCGGTCCGTTTAAAACGGCCGTTAAGCCACCATCCCCGGCCATATTTTGCCACAACACCTGCTTCGAAAATCCTGGATTCCAGATCGGAGGCGTTGAAAGGTAGAATACATACGATACATGCGAGGTGCGCTTTCATAAAACTCGTAATCAAACGATAGGTGCGGCTCTTTGTAACTAAAACCACAGCATGTGCTGCTCTGGGTCGGAAAGCTGTAACGAACCGCAAGATGAACTTGCATTTTGATCGCACTGCTGTTGAGGGTCCGGGCCACCATTGCTGAAACAGAATCCAGTTGTAAAGCGCAGTAACCCTGCAATGCTCGCATTTCGAAGGCATTGCCGTCGAGGATCCGGGCCGCCACTCTTGAAGCAGGGTCTGGTTTGACCGTGGTCCACAAGAGTTCATTATGTCGTGGGCAGGTTCGAACAAGGTGTTGGTGTTGAGCACAGGGGTCTAGGGAGATCCTCCCTCTCATGCTCTTGCATATAAACCAAAGACAGCCAAAACAACAGCGGTGGCATCACGACACCCCCCCCGTCTTACCTGCGCAAGAACGGCCGGGTTCCCGTAGTCCTTCTTGCCCTTGATCACCTTGGTGAAGTCCCCCTGCATCCGGTTCAAGAACTTCTGAAGCTTGGCCCTGAGCTCGGGGTTGGCCTGACCTGTTGCCTCGGGAGGCAGCATATCTCGGTATTCGGGCTTGATGATATCGCCGTCCCCCTCGTCTTTCGCTCCGTCGTCTGCTACATCTTCACCCCCCCCCTCTTCCCCAGCTCCTCCCGTCGCGCCGTCTGGTGGTTCGTAGGTTGTGAAGGGGGAGCTCGCGCTGGGAGATGCGTTGTCTAGCTTGACTAGAGGAGAGGGCAGGGGCATGAAGAACTGCCTCGACTCTTTCGACGGCGGAGCCGGAGCATCGAAGGACGACGCTCTCAAAATCCCAGCCCGAAGTTCTCGATTGGTCCCTTCCTCCTCGTCCACCAACTCTCCTAGTCGGCTGTCCGAGTTCTCCTCCAGCGCGTTGTTGGCATTGCTGATGCCGCTGGCTCCTGCCGCTGCCACTTGGGCCCCCGAGCTGTTTTCGCCTTCGGGGGATCGGCGCTGGTTGTTGTTGGTACCTTCATCTCCGTCGCTTCCGTCGGTATCGTAGCCAGCAAGGCCCAATAAAGACATGGGCGTGATCGAATGCTCGGTAGGCGAGCCTGGAATAGCTCCCGCTCGATGTCACCTCGCCTTGTCCCGCCTGTACGCGACGCACGTGGTGGCTTGGTTTGCGTTGAGGTGCTCCCGGGAGGCTCCGTGGAGTGATCATTGGTCTACGTAAAAACCTCATCTGCGGCGCCTCGCCGATGGTTGCGCCGCCGACGCCGGCGGCTGCCTGTTTTTTTCATACACACGAACGGAAAGGAAGCGGGGTTGATCGAGGGGATGGAAAAAACAGGGTTGGCAAGATGTGGATTATATCGGTGAGTCAGTTGAACATGTGAAACGATTACCGCCATGACCACGTCGGAAGCAGATCAAGAGATTCGAATGGGTGTTTCGATGGTACAGCAGTATTCTACAGCACATGTAGTCTACCCATCTACCGATCATGTCGACGAGCTTGCCTTGCAGTGAAATTTGCTTTGCTTTCGCTGTTATATAGCCGCCGTGAATATCACCTTAGCCGTTGGCCAACATTAGAAGGTATCACTGATGGGGATCAACCATTGTTCGTGGTAGAGATAAATTTAGTGAGACATGCGGATGTGGCGAGGTATTTGAGTGGATAACTCGCCAAAACACCACGATTTGGAAGGCGAACATCGCGGTTTGATACTCGATATTTACAGCAGCAGTACAGTAGTAGGCTGGTGTACCCGCTCTCACTCCCTCTCTCTCTCCCTTTCTCTCTCTTTAACACGATGAGACGACCAAGAATGGTGCATTGACTGCCCAGCAGTCTTGAGTCTTGACGTTCGTTCAGGTCAACAAAGGGTGCTCTATATCTTGCTACTTGGTTCGTTACCTCTTGTGGAGAGCCAGAGGGTGTGTTGGAAAAGGGCCTCCTAAACTGTGGAACCGGCTGTCGTTCGTAGATCTCGCCCTTGTGATGTTAGAGATGGGCCGGTATATTACTTCCCGTGGGCGTATCGTTTGACCTACAATGCCGATCCCAACTCCTGATGTGCGGTCGGAATCATCCATAATCCACGGATTACGTTTTGTATCGTAGGCGCACACCCGGCGGGAGAAGATTCCGCTTCGGCCGTTCGCTTGTCTGGGTTGCCTTCGCGGGCTTCACGCGAGCTTTCGTGCATACCCCGGTGCCGCTGCTGCTGAGACCGCGTTCGGATCCGGGTTGTTTTGCACGGGTTTCTTCGTATTCTGGGGATGAGAAGTTCGCATCGCTCGAGGGGAGATGGCCTTGGGTGTTTGAGCAGCCCGGGAGATGCGCTGACCTCCCCGCAGAGGAGGTTTTTACCGGCTTCGATGGGCTTTTCGACGACGACACTGACCAGGACGCCAGCGGCGCACCTGAGAGCTACAGCAAGGTGGGCCGTCAACATTTATTCGTGGTTCTACTCTCAAGGGCATTGCCACACCCGATGTACTAGACTGAACGGGGGTAGGTTAGCTAGGAAAAGGGCGTTTTCCGCTGTTCACAACACCATGAAGGACATCACGAAGTTTGTAGAGGCCTGCGCGTCAGGCATACACAGACATTTATCTCTCTCGGCGCCCGGTGCGCCTTTCGCGTTGTCGCTCTTAACGAAAACAGGTGTCACGGGAAGTTCGAAACGCTTGCTATGCCTTCGTCAACTTGGATTCTGCCCCAGATCCGGAGGTGGTCGTTCTCAGTAAGACCGCCGCTGCGCTCACGGGGATACCTCTTGAATTTGTCGGGGCAACAACGAGAGAAAATCAGGGGGCGGAAGGCGCGTTTCCGCTGTGCCAACTGAAGCAGGTTGCGCTTGCCCTTACGGGGACGGTGGGGCTCGAATGTGCGCAGCCTTTCTCCTCGAGCTACGGCGGGCATCAGTTCGGCAATTGGGCTGGCCAACTTGGTGATGGCAGGGTTGCGACCCTTGGAGAGATTCTGAGCGATGGCCGAAGCGAGATCGGACGAGTCGCTGGAAAAGAGCATGTCGCTGGAAAAAACCATGGGGGCTTGGTGGAGGTGGGTTTCACCCCGTAACCCAAATGATCTCGTGCGCTTCTAATGATGATTCCAAAATGTCACTCCAGCGGCCTCCACGCGGAGCAAGGATAGTCGGAGATACTGTTTGGGACACATCATACCGTCTGACGTAACGTGCGTGGACAGTACTGTGGTCATTTTTTTTGTGGAACCCGTCTCACACATCAGGTACGCCGTAGCCGGAGGGGGTAACCTGGTCCGCGAAATTCCGGCGGTGAGCACTCCACTGCTTTGTAGGGTTACTGGACTCTTTATGTTGTTTTGGGCAAACGCCACACCGGTAGACGGTATACCAGCTAGACTAAGAAACGACACACCAGAAACGTTCAAGAACTTTGAAAGCGTTCCGTGATGTTGATGGGTCCATTCTTCCGGTATGTGGCGCTGGTTGGCCGCTACATTTGGTCGAGGCTTGTCAGGTAAGCTGTCACGGTTTCGCGGCGTGATACGTGTGGCATGAACGGTGAGTTCATGGGCGCCAAAAGAAGCACGGGGTCAAGCTAAGACACTGTGATTGCCAACCTAAAAGGCCCCGATCTGATTCACCGCCGCCTCCTATTGCCACCAAACGGTGTGGGGTTGAAAAGACCAATCAGCGTTGCAGAACGCTATCAAATTCCCTGGCAAGTTAAACAGGTACCGCTTTTTGGTGCTCGCCTTTATTTCGCTCAATCGTGCTTCTCGTCGTCTTGGATTCGTTGGTTTAGGACCGTGCAGTTTTCGCAGGTGGTGGGACACTGCGTAGGATAGCGTTATTTTTGGTAATGGTACCGTACTGGATGGAAGTATGTACAAGTGATGAACGTGGAAAGGAAAACATCCAAGACGATGATAACAGTAGCGGGGGAAGGGTGATGCCTTGACGAGCAACGTTTTTTTGCCTCGGTTACACGACGCCATGATTTAATCGAACGCAGGCTGTGTATGTTTTGGTGGCGAAACGGGTGTTTCAAGAAGCTTCAGCCCTTTGCCTGATTCATGCTGTCATTCCCACCCAGATTTGGCTGAATGGCGCGATGCTGAAACGAACTGGAGATGCGCATAGTGTTGCCAAGTTTCATCCCGTGGTCTAACTTTTTGCCGTGATGCGGGGCGTGAATGGATTGATACAGATTCAACTCAAGGGCATTGGGCAAACACCATTTTCTAGAGGAGGCGACGGGAAAGCAGGTGAGACAAATTGCCAGGAACGATTGCAGCAGCTCCTGACCCCCGGGATACAGAATATTGCTACCACACACGCAGACTCCACGGGTGCACGCGCTAGAACTCGGTAGGAACCAAACACCGTCGTTGCTGTGCGAGGTTTCATTTTGTGCTGCGTCTGAAGTTCCTCTCCCTCCCACGTTTAACACCAAAATATGGTTCCGTTTCTCCGCTCGTTTCCTATCACGGTGCCGGGATCCTGCAGTCCTTGGGGCATGCCTGCGCGAGTTCTTGTTTAGTGAGGTAAGCTATCTTGAGTCTATGTAGTTGTTGTTGTTGTTGTTTCTCACATTAGCTCTAAAAAAAAAAAAGATTGGGAGCCCGTGGTCTCAAAACCCGGCATACACGACCCCACGAAGAAACAGAAAAAAATAGGGTACAAAAACCACTCGGAAGAGAAACAAAATGATAGAAAGAAAGACCAGCTACCGCACCAAACGAGAAAGAGCGTCGAGGAGACCGATCAAAATAAAATAAAAGGAGAACGGGGAACGCTTCCCACACCCGCCTACAACGCCGGAGGGTTCCGTGCCGGGTTCCCGCCGACCAGGCATCCCCCGCCCTGCACCACACCCCAGGGGGTGCAGCAAGACGGGGGGCGAAAAACAAACACATATATATTCCCACAAAAAAATAGAAAAATCGAAGGACAACGTACACCAGTACCAGGTACTACAGCAGTGCAGTATGCACCAGCGCATTAGTGTAGGGTAGGCAGTGTGTTTCTGGGATTAGTTTTCTGGTGCTGCATGCCCAAAATATGGTGTCGACTGTGACCGAAAGTTCCGATCGCTCGACTGTCGTTATTGATATTCAGGCCTTCTTGGGCCTCGGGCTCCCTGCAGCGGTAGCGGTTTCGGTCTGCTCTTCCGGAGAAAGTGCCACGATTCGAGACTCTGATCCGAAAAACAGCGGGGCGTTCAAACGAGCGCAGGGTGCGGTTCTTTGCCGTGCTGCACCAAGCTTTCTGCGATTTGGATCTTTCGAGTTGCCGGCAAGGAGGGGCGACGTGACACTCGTGCGAAAGCTGGCCGATTACTGCCTCCGCCACCTCAGTCCACATTTTGAATCGAGTCTACTAGCAGACGCAACGGGGTCGGTGGACGAAAGGACAAGAAAATTTCCAACCTCTGGAAAGGATCTGGGCATCGGGCGAAACGAGGAAGATTGGCAGGCCCAGGAACAAGGCAAGGAGAGCAATCAGGAAATGGGTGCTCGTAACGACTACGTGGAGCTTCTTGTGGCTATTGTGCAGGTATGGACGCCATCAAGCCCAGTGTACATGTGACCAAAGCCGGTGGCCACACGCCCGTATCGTGTAGAGTGAGTGAGTAAATAGAGCTGCTTCCTCCGGTGGGGGATAATTGATTGAGGAGTGTGCCCAATATTATCGGACAAGCAGCATTTGGTGGACAGGATTGCCCCAGTAGCGTGCACATTTGATAGTTGATCAATCGGACGTTGGGACAGCTTTCCCGACCAACAAATCTCGACGTTGGAACGATGACACCGGTGGCATGCAGGCAACAGCTCGAATGGTGGCCGGATGGCAGGCGATGGGGTTTTGTCACGGTGTTCTCAACACGGACAACTTTACCCTGCTCGGCCTTGGACTCGACTTTGGACCTTGTAGGTAAGCAAGCGTGCCACAAAGCGGATGTGTTACAGATAGCGGTGTTCTTTGTTCGATGTTCGTCGGCTACTCAGCTAGTGGAAATTTTGATCAGCATGCATATGCTGTATCCCTGCACCTTGTCCTCGAAAGGCGGAGCGTACGTATCAATATGGTGAGTCTATGAAAACGCTGCATTGTGGCCCCCTGTTTGATGGCGTCGTTTGCTTCGTTACACATTCGCAGTTTCATGGAGGCTTATGACCCAACTTGGTCTCCGAATGAAGGCGATTCGGCTCTGCGCTACGCTTTCCGGAACCAACCAGATGTATCAGCGTGGAACTGCGAGCGACTCGCCGAGGCCTTCTCTCCGATTGTAGGTGAGAGCACCCAATGATGCAACCGCCACGTCCAAACGTTCCTCAGGTCATTTAACTGGTTTGGCAGCACCACACGCGGCGGCACCCATGCATACTGCGCTAGTGCTGAGCTTAACGAGAGACGCGTTTGTTGATGTTCAACGTACCACGCTGCACACACTCCATGAACGACGGGGGTTCCAATCGTGGGAGCCGCCATAACACGTACCACCTGCATTACTTGTGGCACGAACTGTTTGAAGGCATGGTGCGTCTTTCGCTGTGGTTTTTGCTCGTGCAGGGGTTTCGGGAGTTGCTGAAGCCAACGCTGCCTTTTCACCGGCCTTTGATGCCGCCTACACCGTACATATTCAGAAGAAACTTGGGCTGTGTGGCATGGATTTGGGAAGTGGCTGGATCCACCCGCGAAGGAGTGGGGATGCGGCCGCTGGCGAAATTCAACAGAAGCTTCCACCAGACGCACAGTTTGTTTTGAGTTTTTTCGACCTGATGGCAGCATGTCGGACGGATTTCACCGAAACGTGGCGAGCTTTGCTTGACGTTCCGGCCCTGTCTGTGGCACGCAAGGCGCTACGAAACTTGACCACTGAGCAATCAGGAGCTACTGGCGCCGAAGATGACATCTGCAATGATGATGAAGAGACACTGCGACCTCTGTCTTCTGTGTTAAACGCCGCCGGAGCATCAAGTACAGCTCGCATGCAGTGGGCGACCTGGATCCGCGATTACAGTTGGCGAATTGACTCACAGGGCATTGGAAACGGCCATCCCGAGGGCGAGGAAGAGGGGAGAAAAGAAAGGCTGGCAATTATGCGTAGCAGCAACCCGGCGTTTGTACTCCGAAAAAAAAGCTTAGAACAAGCTCTCGAGGCAGCAGAAACTGGAGGTGAGCACCCGAACAAACCAAGGCGGTGTTGGCTTCCGAACGCAGCCTCCTCATTTGCAGTTCGTGCTTGTTTAGGTATTAACAAATATTGCCGTGTTCCATGCGCAGATCTAACTTTGGTGCACCAACTCGAGGAGCGCTTGTCCAGGACCTACGCGGGAGACAGCAACGAGGAAGGAGTCACTCGACAACCACCAGAAGCAGCAAGAGTATCAGCATAGTCGTGTGCCGTTGTTGTTGTGCGGTTTTTCCTAGGGTTGCTAGAACGGCGCTCCCTAGAACTAGGTACCAGACGGGGAGTTTCACTTCAATGATTGTGTGTTTCGCGCCCCGTATGAATGCTCTACACTGTCTTTTTTACTTTCGGTTGTGTGTTCTGAAGGGATCCGCGGGGGTCTGACAGGATTGAACTCTGTGTAAGTGAAGTAAAGTTTTGAGTGCCTGTGAAAATTGTGTTGCCCGTTTGCACATGGGTCCCAGCGCTTTTGTATTACGAGCGCTTTCCTGCAGGCAGACTCTCGTGTACTTCCATGCTGGCCTCCCCCCCTCGCGGCGGCAGAGGCCGCTGCACCCTTGTTGTCGTACATGTTTCCCCAGATTTAGCAATTGCTCCCTTCCGAAGGCGGGTGGAGAAGAATCGCAAGGTCGACGTAGCCGTAGTTCGCTACCGAGCGCAGGAGGTGTTCTTCGTTGATATTTGGGCAATGAGGGGGGTACCAGAAACGAATAGGCAGGGCGGCCGCCACAAGTGGTCCGCCCGGTCATGTAAGTAAGGAACGTGGACGGCCGTCAGTGGTCTCTCGAGTTCCCATGGTTCACGGAACGCTTCCAATGGTCGATTATTCTTTGACTCTTAATGTGTCCACATGGAACCTACGCTTCAAATATACCTGCCCATGTGTCATCCACATAATTGCCCAGATTTATCTGATGACTTGTTATTGGATAAGTTAGTACCCTAATTGGGGTATGCGTAACCACAAATTATTGAGGAATGAGAATAGGGCGGAGGACGGAGGTATCGGGTAGATTGCCATGTAAAAGCAAACACGAACACAGCGTGCGTAGAAACTACCAGCTGCTGCGCGCTTCCCAAGTCAACAGAAGCGCACGGGCGTGGTCTACGCTGCTCCATGAGTGTCTGTTTCGTTGGTGAAGGGGTGCCAACAGCTGGAACAAGGAGCAGACGATGGTCATGTCGCCACACCTGGCCAATTGTTGACAAGGCAGTACGACGTGCCGTAGCGTATGTCGAGACAACACCATGCGTCACATGGAGCCTGATTTTGGCGTGGTCTACGCTGCTCCATGCGTGTCTGTTTCGTTGGTGAAGGGGTGCCAACAGCTGGAACAAGGAGCAGACGATGGTCATGTCGCCACACCTGGCCAATTGTTGACAAGGCAGTACGACGTGCCGTAGCGTATGTCGAGACAACACCATGCGTCACATGGAGCCTGATTTGACATCTTCGTGGGGATTCGTGGCGGACGCCAAATCGTACTGTTACCACCACTCCACGCCCCCCGCCCTCCCCTCCGATAAACACCAACCTCCTCCTCCGTTCATGTGGAGCGGTTCGTTTCCAAAAGCTTGTAGACGCCGTGTTCTTTCCAACACCTTTCTCTCCAAAGCCAAACACCTATTCTAGGGTTCCCAGGCACTATCCAGGCATTGCTGCACGTGCGCTTGTCTCTCCCACTGCCCCTGTCGGCCTCCAAAACTAACCCCACAGACAGGGCACTCAGTGAGGCCCTTCGATGACGACACTCTCCCCGTGGTGGCCGGTCCCCTAGCCGGCGCCGTCCCTCTTGATGCCGAGACCGTATTTGTTCCATCTGGGTCACGTGCAGGCTGACAGGATCGGTGGGGCGATGCGGGGGTGGGTGGGGTGTGTATTCGGCATGCCATCATCGAGCAAGGTCTCCAAACACCACAGCAGTGGCAGGTTGTAACGAAGCACCGCAGAAGGAGCCCACGAGGGTACAATCGTCTTTCATTTCCTACATCTTGGTCTAGACTTCGTTACGCAAAAGGAAGAGACAAATGCGCTTCCTCAACATCGGCTAAAATGTGGTAGACCATAGCAACAGATGAGGATATCGCTGGGTTCGAAAGATTTTAGACATAAATATCCATCTGGGACTTTGTCGGAGCTTCACGACACACATAACGCGCGGATGATGCAATACCTGAAGTGATGCACCACTAAAAATGCAACGGACGGCACATTCTGCTGTCACTACAAAAGAAGGTTCACCAGCTCACTTTGGGTGAAAATACCTCCTGAAGTGACACTCGTGTTGACCTCGGGCCTTCCGAAGGACCTGGCGGCAGTTCTTGCCTGTTCGCGGACGATCCCGTTCCATCTGTCCTTCGCACTCCTGGCCCACGCTCGGGAAGTGGTGTAGTTGATTCACCGGGGTCGCTCGACCCATCGAACTGAAGCGACGATCGGTGTGCAATCCCCGACGGCCGCGAGGCGCTCGGCGTTGCGTCTCCGGCTAGACGGGTCTGCTTTGCGGAGGACGGCTGCTTCATCAGGCAGGCGTGGACGTGCTGTGGAAACGTACGGCGGGAATTTTTTGTGGGACGGAGCAAGCCGTTGTTTGTTGGTACGACATTGGGCGGCCAACCAGGTCGAGAGGCTAGAGGGAACATGTATTACAGCAACGGCTGAATAGAACACCCTAGGTACCAGCGAGGTTCAAGAGTGATTACCAACGAACGAAATAGACTCATGCTAACCCACGCGACGTGGCTACGTTGACGCTTTTCAACTTCACTCTATTAACTAACATTTGCAAAGGGTTCATGGGAGAATGCCAGATTCGCTAGAAAGACTAGCGCGCCCTACGATGTATCCACAACCAAAAATATCGGTGGTGTAGCACTTTCACAAAGGTGGCCGCGAGCTTGTGGATCACCTGCTGGCGCTGCCCCGACTTCCAGTGGTCCATGCCTCGGTTGCAAACGGGACACGTCACCTTGTCGCCAGAGTCGTTCGCCTCCAGTGCTTTTGCGGAAGGGCTTGTTGCGAGCCCGAAGCTTCCCCCAGCCGAGACGGCCTTCGGCAAGACTCTAGAAGGAAATGGCGGCTGCGTTCGTCGCCCCCCCTCCGGCGTTGGACCCGCAGACACGCGATCGCTGTGACTCTGTTCCGCTGGTTCATAGCGCTCCGCATGCCGCCCATGCGTGCCATTTGTTCCTCGCGATCGCCCCGCGTGGCCACGCGACGGCGCAGCTGCTGTGTACCCGCCATCAGCCGCTCCATGCGTGGACTTCTTCGGGCTTTCGACTCCCACTCTACCTTGGTGGTGATGGGGATCGAGATCTGGTTGCCTCTGCCCTGAGCCCCCCTGCCCGTCCCCTCGATCTCGACTGGCTGCCTTGCTAGGACGAATGCAGGGAGAAGCTTCAGCTTTGACGATGATATAGGGATCGTCTCGGAGTCGCCCGCTTCCACTGATCCAACCGCCCTATCAAGAAGGGTCCGTGCAAATGGTGACAGTCTTCAACGCGGCAACGACGGAGGGCTGAGACAGGCTTGAACCGTGTGAGAAAAGCAGAGAGTTACGATGCAACTGGAAATATCGAGGGGTGCAACGTCTGGTACAACGGCACACACAGCTTACCGTGGGTGCAAGGCGAGGATGGGGCACGACGCGGTACCGGAGAACGCCAACACAGTCCGCATCGGCAGGAGAGAGATGCCAAACCTGCAACACACGAAAATGTTGATCAAAAACATGCCGGAGTGGGTAACACGAGGCACGTGAAGGATTTCGTAGATCGATCTTCGGCAGTAACCAGGCTAGTGTACACGATAGCCCACCAGCATTTGGCAACTTGGCATAAACGGGTGCACAAAAGCGTGACCAGGCGTCACGTCGGATCCATGAGGATGTAAGCATGGTGTTTCGATTGATTTGCCCGGGAACATGCACCAAGGGACTGCATGAAGAAACGTGCCACCTGCACCAGGCGCTGCCCCCCCAATACCTATTTCACACTACCGGAAAACTCAAATACAACAGAGTTCGCATGAAAGAGCACTATCCGGGGTACGCTCACCGCATCATAGTCCAGCGAGGCCCCGAACGCCAGCCTTCCGAGCTCGTGCGAGCTGTCGATAGACCAGCCATCCCGAAGAGTTGCTCCATGCTCCCAGACGACAGTAAGAGAACCCTGAAGCGGGATACAGGTACGATAAAGAGGTCCATACGTTTACAGAAGACTCAAAGGGAAAACATGGGTGAGACCTATATCGTTGAAAACGCAACCACTTCTACCCAACGTGCGTTCGGTATCAGCATAGGCTTTCGATATAACCGTCACCGGAAACGTCGAAACCGTCATATTGGTGCAAGAAATAGACGACTGCGAGGAATCCGAGGAAGCGAAGAGATGGCAAGTGGGGAAACGTGAGTACGCACTAGCTGTTTACCTTGGCCTCCAGGCCGTGTCACGTCAGTGGCGACCATTGAAGCCGAGGCTATTCATCTGTCCACACTGGGGAACCTTCCATCTGTGGCGCACCAGGCACCCTCTGCATTCTACTTGTGTCCTACGATCACCGATGACATGGACCTTGAATGTTTTGGGGAGGTGCGCGGGGCGGAAAGAAAAAGGCTGGCCGTCAAGACGAAGCAAGTCACAACCCTTGAGAAAAAAATCGATCACATAATTTAGTCACGATGTGAACGTAACTCCTACCGCACGGCAAACAGCACCTGCATGGTAATTAGGCCATATCGGGCACATGTTTATTTCGTCCCAGCCTTCGAGTCACTGGCGCTAGGCATAATCACACTGAACCAATACCTTCTGCGGCACGTCCGCCTTGCGTCCTTCACACTCTTCTAGCTGCGATGAGTTGCTCCCGGCAAGGTCCACGAAACTATCGTTCGCAGCAGGCGCGACCTTCGCATTCTCGTTTTCCTTGTGCTGATTCTCAGAACGTGCTGCGAGGTCAGCACTTCGCAGCAACCCGGAAGACGCCCGTGAGGCCAACGCTCCCCTCGATCTAGAGCCGTTCCATTGGCTGGACGTATGGATCGCGCGCTGCAGGCCAGGAGGTGGGTCTCTCTGTGACCTGCGGTGGCAACCGGCATCCAACGACGATACCCTGACATTCCTCTCATGAGGGCTAGATGCTCGCTTCTTCGCAACCGTCGCGCCTGGCATGGAGCGTTTCACTCCATCAGAACTCGTCGAGCTCCCGTGCCGAGGAGGTGGCTGTGGCACCCCATGTGTTGTTGCGTCCACCGGGGCGCGATCGACATGAGCCGTCCGTTTTCGATGCTCGCCAATGGTCTGGTTTTCATTCGCGACCGCAACCGGACGCCTGGCCTGAGGCGCCGACGTCGCGCGCTCCGACCCCACCGAGCTTGGAGCCGTCGCACTTGCAGCACTGTCATTTGCCGGCCCATATCTTTTGGCCGGAGTCTTGACAACCCTAAGGGAATTACCGCTCTGCTCGCTCGCAGCATCTGCAGCACTCTCGTTTGCCGGCCCATATCTTTTGGCGGGAGTCTTGACAACCCTGGGGGAATTCACGCTATGCGCGCTCACAACATCTGCAGCACTCTCATTTGCCGGCCTATTTCTTTTGGCGGGAGTCTTGACAACCCTGGGGGAAGTCCCGCGGCGCGCGCTCACACTGTTTCCCACGCCTCCGGAGCAGGCTTGCCCTTCGAAAGTGGAGGTACGTCGTACCGTCGGCGTCGGCAAAGATGATTTTCTGCTAGCCCCCTCCGAGCTAGTGCGGTTGTGGCCCTCCTGCTCATGTCGCGGAGATCCCTCTTCGCCACTCTGGTGAGCAGGCTGGTTTTGTTGTCGTGAACGCTCTTCTGGCGGCTGCTTCCGGCTAATCTTGTGCCCAGATACGGGCTTGAACGAGGCGATGATCGCAGCCGACGTACTTTGCACTGGGGAAGAAGCTGTCGTGGCGCTCGGTCGCCGGTTGTTTTTGGCGCTGACTTCAGATATCGTTTCGAGTGCCGTGCGTTTTGGCGGGGGCGTGGTCAACTCGCGAACCCTCTCACCCTCGCAGCTACGCGCAGTCCCCGTCCTCGCATTATTTCCAGCCCCGCCGGGCTCAAGCTCTACGGAAGGTCTCATGGTCGGTGAGCATGCTGGACGTTCGGCCTGCTGTGGGCCCGAGCTGCTGGCAATCGTGTTCTTGTTTGTCGGGGAGACTGCTGTCGGTGGCGATCGTTTGCCGACGTTCTTGACCTTGGCGTTGGCACGGTTGCCACCACTGTCTTGTGGCGTTGGCGTTGGCGTTGGCGGTGGCGTTGGCGGCTCGTGAAGTTTCAGCGCCCTACGAGCGGGCTGCAGCCGAGAAAACACCTGCAGGAAGCAGTCAGCTCTTGACGATGGGGCAGGGCTACCTTCTTCGCCTAAACGCATCGATTGTGCGGCGTCTGCCGGCATGACAGCTCCGCCACCATCACTACCATCCTCATCATCCGACTCCACCAGCGTTTCGGGCGGAGGAAATGTCTTCAGCGTGAGATAGCCATCTCCATCTCCCCAGCAGTCAAAGCCGCCGTCGTCGACACTCCCGCCAGCTGGCCAGGTTCCGAACCAACCCCCCTGTTCGTCGTTCGGACGAGCACCCCACGACGCTGGTCGGCCGCGCACTCGACGGTTTTCTTTCCGCATCCTTTTATTTCGTCCAGTTCCGCACTCACCCACCCCACAGCTTGCCCGACATGCACCTTCACCGCCACCGGTGCCAGCACAGCAGCAATCAATGGAGCCATCGTCTGCTGATTCTTCTTCCTCGTCAGGTGTAGGGAAAAGTTGCGTGCCGAGCCATCCACCGCCGTGCGCAGGCCCACGCGCAGAGGCCTCTCGCAAAAACAATAGCTGCGCCTGCGCGATTTCATCAAGGGCGCGCGAGTCGCAGTCTTTGCGTGCTCTGCTCGCATCCGAAGCAGCAGCAGGTGTTGGCATGGCGTCGCTGACAATCTGGTGCCCCTTTGGCCGAGCTAACCCTAGGGCTCGACGGCGGAGTGGGGTTGGCTGCTGCGACCCACCGGGGGAGGATGACTGTGTGGAATCGGGCAAGCGATGCTGGAGAGCTGCTCTTGTGTTGGACTTTGTCTTGTCGGCAGCTTGGTTTCGGGTGTGAGGAACCCGAGCCTTTGAGGTAATCGAGGCTACGAATATACACACGACACAACGCAAGAGACGGTTGAGACGTGGCGCCACGAACGATGTGGGAATGGAGAACATTTTCGAGGTTGCACATGTCGTCGACCGAGAAACAATGGGTGCTTACACTGACTGAATATCAACCGCCGCGCCGTAGGCCTATTATAGGATAGTACAGAGGAGACCTCTCGAGTAAAATGCTTGTGGTATGCATAGTCTACATCGCCGACAAGCCGCATTGACGGCGGTCATGTTCGAGATCGAGGTCTGCTGCAAAGCAGAATCACCTCCTGGTATTTGTGTAAAGCATAACGAGTGATGAGTTCAATGCACTGCTGTAGTGCCAACAAAAGGAAAAAAGCTCTGCTGACGGGGTCACGGCTGTGACACCTCCACTGTTGAAGAGCGAATGCCAGCGCACCTGCTCTCTCAGTATCAATAGCCCGTCCACCCTGAAGCGTCTTGGTCTTCTTCGCATCCTTGTCCTGACGAACTCGCTTCTCCCCTCCGCGACGGTGTACTGCCTTACCCTTCCGTGTCCCTTCTCTTGACATTCTTTCAGTGTTGCCTTCACGACTTCCACTGCCAGTCACATCAGTGATGGCGCTGCTCGCTTCCTTTCCCACTGACGTGGCAGTCGCCGTATTGCGACCATCGGGATTCCCCACCCCACCGCCTGCATCTTTCCGCCCGCCAGCCGCGCTCTCACCATCGCTAGCATCAGCCCGAGCCCTTCTTTCGAGGCAGTCGTTCACGTGCAAAGCTAAAGACCGCGACGAGAAGCCTGTCTGCTGGCACACCGGGCACTGCCGATTCACATCGTCCCACGCAGAACGGGACGGAGGGCCGGCGGGTCCTAGGAAGCGAGTGAGGGTGCTGGAAGGAGCTACGGCGGGAGAGTCCTTCTTGGTCTTGGTCCGCTTCTTCGTGGCTAAGGCTAAGGTTGCTGGTGGAAGGTTGGCCTCTTGGCTGGAGTTGTCGTCGATTTCCTGGACGTCCATCATCTCCAGGGACCGAGCATCCGGCCGTCTTGCTGGGCAACGGATGACACACCAGATACTGTTGTAGATGACTTTGTCAGGCCGTGCAGTGCGACGTGCGTTTGAGCGCGCGACATTGTCCAGGGGCTGACTGCTCACCGACAACCAAGTGCAAGCCGCAAGGTTCTATGGTACCACAGAATGTACAGCAGAGGTACTCACAGGGGTATACAGCAAGAATCAGCGCCTGCAGACAGTAACTTGTAAGCGACGCTTAAGTCTACAGCATTTACAGTCCCGGAAGTAGCCAGTACAGCTGTAAATGTTGGCTCAGCAGTAGTCACATTCGCATACATGTTTTTTCTGTGGAAGTGCAATAAGAAAAATTCTTTGTTGGGCTATCGCTGAGAAGCCAGCGCACAGGAAGCTTGAACCTGCCGTCGCGGATGAGGTTTGCACTAATACACCGCACTCGCGCAGAGCACAGCGAATTCGCAGGGACATCCATCGGCCCTCGGCAGCAGCAGCATGCTAAATATATTTGCGTGCTTCTATCTTGCACCATCAGACACCGCAAAGCACCAACAGCGCACACATCGACTCCCACCTGAATACACCCCTCGCGCTCCTCCCTTTCACCCCCTGCCTCTGCCCTAAACGACTGCTGACTGCGGGCGGCGGTGTAGCAGTTGATATGTGATGGTGTGTGCTGCAGAGTTCGAGCAACTTTTGAAAATCTCTCACCCCCCGACCTTTCGGCCATCTGTCGGCCCCCGACTGGGCCGCTCCTGCTCGCATACCACCCACCACCTCACCTGGCTTCTCCCTGTGGGCACAGGCAAGGAAGATGTTGGAGGTGGTACAAGAAGATCATGAGGTGTGCTGAGGTCTCGTGTCATCGAATGTATCTATTCTCAACCAGTTGCATTTATATCATGATGTACCTTGGACGTCACATACGTCGGGTATCACACCCCCTAGACCGACTTTCGAAGGTCGAAGGTCGAGTGCTCCGCAGCAGAAACAGTGGCGGTGCCGAGCAGAGCGGCAGTGAAATCCGTTTCATCGACAACTTTCCCGAAACGTATCGGTTGATATATACACCCTCCTCGTCGTGGAGTAATCGAGCTTTGAAAATAGATCCAGGGGATGGGATATCTTGTGTCACCTCAAACACTCGGTATGTGATATCTGTCAAGCTCTCGCGTTTGACATTGCGAAGACATTGAAGAGTAGTCTACGAGTTCATGAATTTATAGTTTGAGCCAAAATATTTGAAGATGCTGTCGTTGGTTCTCCCTTCATTTGCGGGATGCTGACGGATGCTGATGCAGACTACTGCGTGTACTTCATCAGTAATTTTTTTTCTGTTTTTCTCTCATCATTGGACTCTGTCGTCTGCCTCTCTGGCCCCTATCCTCCACTTCTACTAGCTAGACGACCCAACTCGGGTCACATAGGAGGGGGGGACTGGACCCCCTCCTGCGGTTCCTGCCTGACGTATTTTAATCGCGAGAAGGGTACAGCAATCCCTTCCCTCGCGACTTACGAAGTCGATTATGGTTTACTAACAACGAGCTTTGCAACGCGTCGCTTTCATCCTATTTTNCTCTGTCGTCTGCCTCTCTGGCCCCTATCCTCCACTTCTACTAGCTAGACGACCCAACTCGGGTCACATAGGAGGGGGGGACTGGACCCCCTCCTGCGGTTCCTGCCTGACGTATTTTAATCGCGAGAAGGGTACAGCAATCCCTTCCCTCGCGACTTACGAAGTCGATTATGGTTTACTAACAACGAGCTTTGCAACGCGTCGCTTTCATCCTATTTTGACCAGGATTTATTTAGTGAGAAAAAAACTCGCTCTGCCGGGACTCGAACCCTTGACCTGGCCCTTAGCAGGCTGCGAGGTTACTGTCGCTCGGTAGATACGGTCTACATGGACTATAGACACGCGGTGGCAAGTCGGTTGTTGTTCTGTTCCCGTTGTCCTTGATGTGTTCTGGCCCTTGCCTACGCGCGAACCTACGGGGTAGCGTGTAAAGGACTGTATGCGCTACTCGGAGCTCACCCCCAAACCCTTGCATATCACGGCTTTATGCACCCTACCGCTCGTCATTTGGTCACCAGTTTGATCTTGCCGGCTCCGCTCGGTTGGATGTACTGGTTTCAGCTATCAAGCCTCGCCAGGCTAGCCAGATCGTCAAGGACTTATCAGAGCTTCTTCCTCTTGAGCGGGCCAAGGTTAGTGAAGGTGTCCCCCCTGTTACCTACCATATAGCGGTATAGTCTTCGGTACGCGTTGATGGCGAAGTGCCTCCCTCACGCGTGTCCACGGAGGTCAGTGAAGGTCAACGGCAACAGTGTTACTCTCCAGCAATGACTGTTTGCGTCACGTGCGGCTGACCGGACGAGGATTCTCCCACAAACCAGCAGTTCGGCCGAAGCAGCCGGAGCTTCAATGTTTTGCTATCACGACGTTCGATGCTACAGTGACTCGGACGGTGCGGACGGTGTTGTCCCCTCGTGCGTCGAAGGCGCTGTTGTCGTATGGCGACGCTACAGCAGTGTGTATAGCGTGGAGTGTGTGCCCGTTCTAGGCTGCTTTGGCAATTACCATGGTTCTAGGTCGTTGCCTTGAGTTCGCTTTTGAAGAACCGACATCTCGCACAACTAAAAGAATATTTTTAGTGAGCATCGATGTTCTCATGGCCCTCTTCGGCGTTGAAACCCTTGTTCCGACTTCCCCATCGCGCAGCTCAATCACCTCAAGCGCATACGGTCGTCTCAAAACCCGGAAACCGGGAGATTGCTGCAAGTGCTCCTGTCGCCCCCTGACATGTACTACGCCCTTGACGAGGCCAAGCGCAAGGAAATCGTGGAGCGGTATGGTCTTGAGCCCACCGTGCGCGCTGTTCCCAAGCTTGAGCCTCGAACACGGGCACAGTTCCTGAGTGGGGGCTCTGCGTGGCCGATGATATTTCACCACAGGTGACGTCTTACTCTTACTCCTTTTCGCTTCTGAGCCCGACCATTGGCGCCGCATCCCTGTTGCCACAGGCTTCATCTGGTTTTCTAGCTGGCCGGTTACTGGGCTTGCTTGAGGCATGCGCACTACTCAAGGCCAGCGTGCTCAAGCCACCTCTGGGCTTGTCTCAGCAGTCTCAGCAGAGGCGATCGCGGCCGGGGCAACTCTTGCTGCCAGCCTTCCGCGTGTTGTATTTGGCTTGCATCTCGGGATGTCCAAGAAGGTAGGACGCCAACATGCACTGTTGTTCCTCCTTGTTGTACGCACCTCCTCCCCCCGTATGTTGCCCAGCACATCCGAGGAAGCCCGGCGGGCCGCCAGAGTCATCCCTCAACAAGACGCTCTCGACGCCATTGGCTTCATGAGAGACGCCCTCGTCGATGCGGAGACGGGTAGGCAGCAAAACGGGGGCCGACCAACGGTCGGAGCGGTGCTGGTCGACCCCTTGGGGGGATGCGGGGGTCGAAGGGGGAGGGTCGTTGCAACGGCCTCAAGAGAGAGGCAGAAGGTTCGCGATGAGGAGCCGGCGTCCATGAGAGATCACCCCTTGCATCACGCCGTCATGCTGTGCGTGCAAGGGGTGGGGAGAGCGCTAGCGGCCGGATCGAGACAAGAGAAACTTTCACGAAAGCAGGAGGAAGGTTCAGCAGGGGGCAAGCTGCGAAAGGAGCGGGAGGGGAAGGGGTCGGAGAGTTTATGCAGCGATGCAAGCCCTCCTGGCGGGGTAGTGGAGGTGCTTTCTCCCGAGCAGTACTTGTGTACAGGCTTCGACATCTACGTCACGCGGGAACCTTGCCTGATGTGAGTACAGAAACCCCGCGTGGGATGTATGGCTGTGAAGCACTTCATGGACAACCACGATTGTTGACAGATCGTGAGTGCAGCACGTTTTCTCACCGATATCATACGAGCGAAGGTAGAGCTGTTACGCTCTGGGAGCAGCTTGGTGCGGAGTTTTGTGATGACGCCGCGGATACCTGTAGGAAACACGAAACACAAACCACTTGACTGTGATTTTCTGGAGCATGTTGTCTTGGTGTTATACCAGTATATCGTCAGAGTTTGCGCTCGCACATTCACCCGCGCCGACTTTGCACTGCTTGGCTCATCCTCTCTTTACAGGTGCGCTATGGCACTGGTACATAGCAGGGTTCGACGGGTGATCTACGGTGTTAGGGATACGGAGCGAGGGTGTTTGGGCTCGGTGACGATGCTGCACACTCTCACGTCGCTCAATCATAACTACAGAGTCTTCGAGGGTGTGTGTGAGGATGAGTGTCGGCAGTCCTTGTCAGATGGAGAGTCAAAGCATGCAGTGGTTTTGCCGTAAATGTGAACACACTGCCCTTCACGTAAGTGAATCCTCACGGAAATCAATCACTGAGCCGTTTCGTGCAAGTCACACTCTGAGGCCCTACACAGGCAGTACAAGTGTGTAGCCTACACTGCTCTCCTGTTGCCTAGTGTCTCGCGGTTGACTTATCCTACAGCGGCAGCAGCAAACGTCGCAGATACGGCAAACACTTGCCGAAGTCGAAACACCCAACAACCCTAACCATGCACCCAAGAATGGCTGCACAACCAGTGGTGTTTCCGCAGTGGTTCTCATGGAAAGCAACTCTCGATGAACCGAACGCATTGTTATTGACGACAGAATGATTCAGCATGCTCACAGAGTCGTTTCTATCCGCAGTACACCACCAGGAGGAACCTCAACCTACAGTACTCATCTCGATACCCTCCGATACCGTAGTACAACTGAAGAGCACTCACTCATGCTGTGAGGATCATCACTCTGTTGTTTTTTCTGACTTCAATCTCAAGCATGCAATCTTTACAGCCTGTGGAGGCAACCTAGGTGTGCTAATAAAACATCACAACAGTAAAACCCTTTGGACAATTTCCGAACCTGAAAAATGATTGGTGTTGAAAGAAAGCGCGCGCAGCATGCTCAGAGCTACTAGCGCCTTGGACATGCGGCCTTCGAAAACAGCAAAGCAGGAAAAAGACATGGTAATATTGATGTGACGGAGATTGGCAGATTTCCAGGACATGTAAACGGGCTAGTCACCCACGCTTAGGTGAGTAACCCGTGTACATGTTCTCGAAACCTGCAGTCTCCGTACACAAGACAACCATATCTCACTATTGCGTTGCTATTTACGTAGACTGTGTCCCCAAGGAGCTAGGAGGCCTGAGCAAGCTGCAGTCGCCTGTCCTCGGCAACAACCAGCTTACAGGGTAGGAACGCGTCAAAACGGTTGGCTAACGCTTGGCTGTTCTACGACATGTTCTCAACCTCTAGACTAGTCTATGGTTGCTGCCAACGATTTTTGCACATTCTACCCTCACGAACGACCACCAAACACCTGAAGCAACACGCCCGCTTCGAAAACCACACATGTTCTTGGGAAAAGGCAAAAAAAACGATTGGCAAAGCCAACAGCCCGTTTGACACATGAACCAGCCCCAACCACGCTCGGAAACGCTTCAAGCTTCGTGTGCTGCATGTGGGGTGATGGGCATACGTCATCCCCCAGCAGACATGCATACGCTTGCCCTCCCGCCGACCCTTCTTCGAGACGTTGCACTCACGCCTGTCCTATCAAACATTTTCCTAGCAACATTCGAGTCTTTTATCCTGATAGCATGACGGGCAGAAGTAGCACTCAAACTGCGAGTTGTAATCTGCCGCTAAGCACAGACTACAGTGGGGAACTCCGCAAGCGGAGCACCTCTGCCAGCATGCTTGGCACGCAGCACGATCACAAAACGAACACAAAATGTCCCCGCCCGCCGTTCCTAGCGCGCCTCTGCAAGCGTAGCAGGCAGGCCCACCCTCTTCCCCAGGTTCCGCTCCTACACCCACGTCAACATCCATTGCACCATCTCCTCTGCATGTAGTTCGGGCACACTCCCCATCGCAGAGTTCTGCATTGGCGATTCGACCAGAACACTCTGATGGAGGCGTGCACGGCAGTCCGGGTACTGCAAACATGGCGTCGATTTTGAGCTGGACCAGCGTTCGCCCAGGCCCTGTGCGGGATGAAAGGAGGAAGCACCACGGTGAATTTGGTGTTGTGGTTAGTGTTGGACGAGAAAACGGGCGTCGAAAGTAGGATAGCGTTAATCTTGTTTGGAACAAGCGAGCGGTGTTCGATACGTCAAATGGTATGGGAACGATCCCTCGGACGGCACAAGCCAAACTCGACACACGACACAGGTCAAAGGGTTTCGAGGTAAAGAGGGATGGACACACCGACTGCAGGAGGTCGGTGTCGCATCAAGACGCCAAATTCTTGTAACAATTTCTCAGAATTGTGGGTTGGATTTTCGCAGCAGATACCGGAAAGGCAACGGTACGCAATGCGGCACGGTGTTGAGCGCCACATACTTCTTGTCACCCAGACGACGTAAGATTTCGCCCAAGGATCCTTGAGAACGAGGGGCTTGTCACCCCAAACTTGGTAAGTCAGAGCGGTCATCACGGCCGATACGATGCAGCTGTTCTTTGTATCGTAGCATTAGCATCACGGCTGAGAGAGTATGCATTCAACAGGTACATGTATGTACGCATCAAACGAGATGAAAAAACGCTGCAGCGGTGCTTGATATAAATCATCAGCGTATAGACTTCAAAGACTCGATATAAGTCCAGTAGCCAGCCGGTTTTCCTCCACTCACTGAAAAGACTCAAACCACATCCCGTTGCACTGCTGTGGGTATACATCTCGAATGGGTAGAATTTCTGTGTGTGCATTTGTTTTTCTTAGTACTTGAAGTTGGACGAGCGAGAGCGCGAGACGGGAGGAGCGGATCCTGAGCGACCATGAGGGCTCAAATGCATGGTAAGATGGCCGTCGCAGGTCGGTGCACGGATGCTTGCTCTCCTCGCAGCAGCTTATCAGAAGATATGCACAGACAACAAGGTTCTTACGGGCATCGAAGGAAAAATCTGCACGTACAAAAGTTGTCCAGCGGGGAATCGCTCGCCCCCCAGTGCATTCTCAAAGCGCTTCAACCGGGACGGCCATTTCCAACACTCAACACCATGACACAGGGAACCGCAGGTGCAAAACATTAATACAAACCCTCCCAGTGTCCAACAGCGGCCTTCCTCTTGGGAGTAAAAACCAAGACACGTGAGAGGTTGACACCTTCTCAATCCGGTCTCGACGCTCTACGAAATAAAATGACAAACAACGGCGCTCATTTCAAGCTACAAGTAGTTGAATAGGGGTCTTGTGCGCACAGCTTCGCAACAACAAAATAGAGGGAGCGACGGAAAAAATGAACCAAGGACGGAGGGCATTTTTTGTCGAATTTTGAACCAAGCGCAGCGGTCCGAACCGCTGGGCGTTGCCGCCATAAAAATGGTCAGGGCTTACCTGCGCCCCCAGTTGCCGCGGTAGATACGGCCTGCTTGTCCGGGCACTCGGGTTCAACCCTCTCCATAGACGGCCTCGTTCCTCCTCTTGTATCCCTGCCGCTTCCTTCTCTCGCGCCCCATCTGCCGCCTAACCAACAGCCCCGCCCAACATCCGCACCTACAGGAGCGATGGCACTACTTGAAGAGCAGCTATCGGCCTCCTCTCCGCGATGCCGTTCTTGCAGCGCCTCTCTCGTCCACCAGTGCTGTGTCTCGACATTCTCGCTCGTGTTGACATCCAGGTCTTCGTGGGCTGGGGGTGATGGTGGCCTTGTTGTTTCGGTTGTTGTTGTTGCCGCGATCCTTACTCTCTTTCTCGCAAGGCCGCCCGCGTCCACTTCGGCCTCGAAAGGGAGCCGGGAAACGAGCGGCTTCTCGAAAACATAAAAGGCTCCTCGCTTCCTTGTGGTGCTCATGGCCATCACGCCCCGTCGTTACTGCGTACGGCGCATGTATCGTTTGGTGTCGAGTGCCGAGGTGTGTTGTGTTGCGTGCCGGAGAGACGAAATGTGCCGGCAGAAGGTGAGTGTGCTTCCTCCAGGGAGCACGCAGACAAATTGTTTGAGAGGCGGTGTGTGGGAGAGGGTTGTTCCCTTTCGGGGGGATGAGGTGGGCCGGTGCGTGCGTGAACACCAGCTGAGTCGTGACACAGCGGCAGCACGGCCAGCAGCAGTCACGCAGACGTAGGATAGCTCGGGAGGTTAGCTCTCATTCTAGTGCTCCCTCGGCGATCGGCATTTGTTCTCCGAAAGAAGGGGAATGGTAGCTTTGTCATGGGGTTGTCGATTAATAGCAGGAAGGACCGCGGGCGAGGCATGCTCTGTGTTGCTGCTCCTCCTGGCTTGCGCCACCCCAGGAGTTTCATTCATCCAGGGCAGAGGGATGGCGAGACAAAGGACTTTTAGCTATGGGGTGGGCAGGATCGGGCGATTGCAGGCGTCTTCGAAGGGGTGAGTGTGTTCTGCGCTCGATGCCACAACAACGGCACACATGTTTGCGAAAACGGAAACGGCAGCAGGCAGCAGGCACCCAGCCATATTGTACACGTACACCGGGGAATCGTGCTTAGTGAGCGATCATGTTAAGACCTTGGGCCTTGTACGCTGCACTCACCAAGCTACTCATGCATACTGCCATTGATACTCTGGCGTATGCATCGCATGCCTTCACCCTAGCTCGGTACTTTCAAAGAAGTTTCAAACATGTGTTGGTTGTAGTTCAAAAACTCAAACGCTGACGCGCTGCGGCTCACGCTTGATCTCCACCCCCCCCAAACCGCTGCAACAAACATTCATGTGGTGGCCGCGCTGGTGCTGCCCAGCAGGGCTTACCCGCCCCCATCCCGCAGATTGCGAGGGCGTGGGCTGTGCATGGATGCAAGCAGTTGTGCTCCCGAGATTACGGATGATAGCTTCGAGGCAGAGGTGCTTGACGAGGATCGACCAGTGCTCGTCTTTTTTCGGGCTCCGTGGTGAGACAGATGAGAGATGGCGAGAGAGGTTGTCAACGAAGAGGTTTTCACTCCTCTTCACAGCAGTGTGCAGGTAGATGAAGCTCCGTTTGTCTGGTAAAATGAGGCCCAAGTGCGCCCAGCTATTCGCTTTTGACCCGTGCTCCTGCGCTTGAGAGCATGCAAGCTTTGACGTTGCGATTGTTCCATCCCGGCTATCGCTTCGCTGCTTGTTGATTGATCTCTGCTGCTGCATTGGAACTGTATCTCTCTTCGGGGCTACAGTGGTAGCAGCGATTGACAAGCAACACCGAGGTACATAGCCGGGATGCAACAATCGCAACGTTAAGCCTGCATGCTCTGACCGCAGGAGCAGGGTACAAAAACAAATAGTTGGGCGCGCGTCAGCCTGAATTTACCAGACAAACGGAGCGAATCTCTCGACTCTCAACAAACCAACGGCGGGATTTAGGAAATGTGAAGTCATTCCTTACATATTGAAGCATGAGCCAGAGTGTCTGGCCAAATCGGCATTTCCAAAGTAAAAAAAGAGTGTGCTAATATAACACCGAAACCTACAGTATTAACAAAATGCATTGGTCTCCGTTTTGCCTGCAGCAGAAGCTGCGCGTTGCACGACTTGTCCTACTGCTGTTTGCATGAAGCTGTAATTTACCTCCCAAGAATGCTACCCCTCCTTCCCTCCCCTCGACCTGTAGCTTGATTGCGTCCTGCTTTCTCATACATACTTTCCAGTTGATACTATGCTTCACCTCGCTTGCGTGGATGTTTTTGCACCCTACTGACGGTACCAACCCATACGCTCCTTGCGCTATGGAATGGTATTCAAACTGCTTCGGTTGCTGCTTTCTCTCGTCAAGTGATATTCCCAGCTGCTCGGCGCTGCCCAACTGCTTGCGCGTATCGTATTTGTTGTCCGTGTCGTAAGGTGCGGCCCATGTCGCATGGTCGGGCCCATTGTAGACGAGGTTATCGCCGACCATGGCAGCAAGCTCAAGGTGTTGGAGCTGTGCACGGACGAGAACCCCAAGACGGTAGCAGAGTTCAAGATCCGGAACATCCCCACCCTGATGCTGTTCAGCGACCGGAAAAGCGTCATGACCGTTGTCGGAGCTGTGCCAAAGAGCGCTCTCGTGAGCTCTATTAAGAAGCACATGGATCTGTGATTTGGGATGAGAATTCGCGTCCTTTGAGTTGATCGGGCTCCTTAGTAGGGCAGGTGAAGCCATCGCTAGCGCTTGCGTTGCGTGTTTCGCGGACAGTACAGCGGTATAGAGCGTAGAGGAGGTGCGACAGACCCTTGAGAGTTCGAGAGGGGGGGGGTTCGAAGCTGGGGCGAGTGCAGCCTCTTCTATCGGCGCACTTACTCACCAGCAGCATTTTTTTTCTGGCGGGGGGTGGTTGTGGCGTTCAGTTGCTATGGTGGTTGCGGCCACCTGCCTCTTTCATAAAGTATGTGTTGACGTTTATGTTATTGTTTTTGATCGATTACCTTGTGTTTGTTGCGGTGGTCCGATGACGGTTGTTGGATTAACGCAGACGGTTGGTGAAAATAATTACCCCGCTCTTTCATTATTGGTGCCAAGGTCACCAACAATGCTTTTACTGCTTCTTTCGGCTGCATGGATTCTGGGACAGGGTGCCGCATACCTACTGTTCTGTAGGACCTCAGATAATTCTCGAAGAAACGTGCCATTCGCGTGCGGAATTTTCATGACGCACACCCACCCATGATCGCGAAGGTTTGGTTGACTCCACAACGCACATTCCATGACCCTGTACTCGTGTCGAGGCAACGATCGATGGAGTTCAATTGAAGTTAACCTCCCTGTGGTCTTGTCCCCGCATGTACCAGCTGATACACTGTGTATGACGCAGAGATGCAGACGCGCCCTCAGCACCTGTTAGATTGATGTTGGGTGTCATGCTCATGCTTTGCTCGATGGGCACCGCGTGCTGCACGATCGTGTTGACTCCTTCAGACGGCTCAGAGGAGGTCGACATAAACTGGTTGCCACCACCGCAGCGTGTCACCATCTCAAGGGCTACTCCTCGATTTGCGTCGTTGACGTGCTAGAGGACCAAGTTGCACGAGAGAGACGCTTTCAATATCTTGTTCGCCTGTCCATACCAGAAACTGGCAATGCTTTGCAGTGCTAGCCGCAGCAAGTGTCTGCTTGTCGAAACAAGAGTTGGTGTCTAGGTACCGTACTAATCGCCGTAGCCCGTTGTCAGCCTAGCGTCAAGGTTAAGGTTGTCACCCCTGTTGGGGGAAGCTTGGTTGCAAGGGAACAGATAAACAGGTTACACGAACACCTATTGCCCAAACATACATGCGTCAAGTGGTTCTATCCAGGGTTACGCGTAGTTTAGAGTCAGTGCCTGGAACAGAAGAAGCGAGGTTGTGGCCTGCTCGAATAAAATGCCGACCTGCTTACACCATGATAATGATTGGCAGCGATGTGATGCGACGACAACGGCCGCAGCCAGCGACCCCGGGACCAATCTCCAAGGGTTTACTCTGCAACGTTACTGCTGTATTTGCATTACCGCCAAATTTCTGTTTTATCGCCTCCGCCACATGTTACCGCCAACAAACGCAATACAGCCCACCTCTCCGCTACAATCATCCCCAAATGGCATTACTGCCGTATGGCATTACAGTACCGCCAATTTTCTGTTTTGCCGCCTCCTCCGCCAAAGTCGTTACCGCCAAAAAACGCATTGCCACCTACCGCCAAACAACCACCGCCAATGGGCATTACCGCCGAAAGCGTGTCCGCCAACAAACCGTTACCGAGTAAACCCTTTTGTCAATGCTTCTGGAGGACAACGCCGGACAGCTGACACTGCTCAACAACGGAGGACGAATCAATCGAAATGTGACGACACAACAACGGCACGCCCCCACCTACACACCTGCAGACCTACTCACCACTACGGCAGGCAGTACTCCACTGCGAGGGTTAGGATTTATCCAAGGTCACGTGAAAATACAAGCCAACATGTTACCGGAGATGGACCGGACTGGGACAAAGCGCCGTGCACGAGGCCACGAGCAACACCATCACTAGACTACTGCTGTAGACTAGTGAAAAAATTCAAAGACTCGGAGGCTCGTCGCATTTTTTTCTCATCACCAACAAATAGACCTATCTTCTCGCCGAGCCAACAGGACAAGGAAAGGCTATCAATCAAAAAGAGATGAAGACTCCCTCCCGTGCAGTGCAGGGTACAATATAGTAGCTGCAGCTCGTTTAAACACATGAGCGTGCAGATGTTTCAACCCGGTGTCAACAGGACTAAGATAGAGGCACTTGACACCTCCCTGCAATCTCCACCAGAGCAGCAGTTGCTGAGCGCGCTCTTGATATCGCATCTGGCCAGGTCCGGATTCCTACTGCAACCTTGAGCTACTTTGTCCAGTCCATCTCCCAGGCACCTGTTGGACGAGGTGTCTGCGTCCTCCACCTTCCCCATTGGATGGCACCAAGCTAAGCCTGATCCGCTTGTAGTTTATTTAGCTGGATGAATTTCGCTCTGGGAAGGGAACGTTCGGCTGCAGATCGAACGCTGGCAACCACCCTCGCTGCTCCAGCGTCTGGCGCACTTTGACCTCGTTCTCCTCGCACAGCCACTCGTGAGTTTCCTTCAAGATCGCCAGCACCTGCAGCGTAAAGCATCGAACTTATGTCAAGAGGAGGGCGGGATCGAAAAGCTTGTGGCAACTGTCCTTGGTATCGCGCACATCACGTTTGCGACATTCGAACTGAGCCCCCAAGTAAACCAGAACGAACGTGGATCATGACGCTCAGATGAGCACGCATGCCACACACTGTCAAAAGGCTCGTGCTACAACGCAAGGACATACCGCAAGCCACAACCCTCTGGGCGAGTATCTGCGGCTCAAACAAACTCGAAACACTATCAACATCCAAGACTTGACATCATTCATCGCCCAACAAACCGCTGTGCTTGCCACCCACCTTCGCCTTGTTGGGGCAAGAGTCCGGGATGTGCTCCTTCATATCGATGTCGGGTCGGTAAGGGTATCCTGGCGTGAAACTGTTGAAGGCCTTCATGTTCTCCTCGTCAGATAGCTCAGGCTTGTGCTTCTTCATGTTCGACTCCAAAGTCGCGTACCTGTACGCAGGGCCGCGACGAGGGGTAACGTTGAATGTATCCAACCAACTGCCCAGACAAGCGGATGATACATGTGCGGAGAGCGTGATGCGTGATGCTGTCGTACATCGTACGGTACGGTGCGATATGGTACGGTACGGTACGGTACGGTACGGTACGGCTCGGTTCGGTTCGGTTCGGCGGTTCGGCTGTTTTCCAACTGATGTGCCTGTTTCTATTTTGGTGATTGATTCATCGTGGCAAAACCCGCGGACGACCGCAGCAGTACAGCACGAAAGGCCACCAACTTACGCGCGACGGCGGCGTCCCTACCGATGAATCGACAGCAACAAATGGACCGCAACCACAACCACATGCCTGCTTCTAATCACCGCCGAAGAACCTATTCTTCAGTGTTGGTATCACGCTGGTACGAGAGGCTGTCTGAAACACAAGCATATTCTTCGGGGGGTGGGTCTGTGATTACAAGAGGAGGCGCCTGCTCCAGCTTGACGTGACGCGCTCATTTTCCCGACTATTCGGTCGGGCCGTGTTCAATAAAGGAGACCGAAAAACGGCGCAGGCAAGCATGACTGAAGCAAGGCGGACAGCCCAAGGCAAGCAAGGCATACCTGGCCCTAGCGAAGTCGTACATGCCCCAGGCTGTCACCAGATTCCACATCCATACGATGTGCGGCACGAACACGCCTTCCGAAGAGAAGACCGTGGAGTAGCGTCCCAAACGATCCGATCCGAGGAAACCATTCGTGGGAGTGGGGGGGGGCGACCAAACGCGGGCTGTCAAGGAGAGGTGTAGTAGACACCCCGCGTATGGATGTCGAAGCTCCTTTGTTGCCACGATGTTTCCCGACAGCAAATGGCTAGCCACCACCAGCAGCAGCAGGTCTAGGTCGCGGGGTAACATGGACTGCCTCACAAAATGCCAATAATACAAAAAACCCTGCGCGATGACCTGTGCAAAAATAGCAAGCCAAATTTTTTCTTCCACAAACTGCGAATAAGGCACGCCTCGAACAGACCAATAATAGCGGTGCTGAGGTGAAACGGAAAATCATTGCCGGAGAACAAACAGACAGCGTGAACTGCAGTTGCACAGAAAACGTCCACACCAAGGCAGTTGCGTGTATAATGAATAGCATCGACAGACGGTAGCTCATCTCACCCGTGGGCGTGTCGTAGCAACCCGGAAGACCATGCCACCAGTTCGACACCCACTCCGCTCCGAGCTTCTCAACCATCAAACCCCTGAGAAAGGTAGAGTATCGGTTCGGATCGAATGGCACCAGCCCACATGGCAGCAACCATGGTGTCAGGGTTTTTGCGAGTTTACCGAAGACCGTCAAGATACACGCAACATGTAGAGTCTTCCACGCCATATAATAAATTCATGTGAGGCATGCTTGGGTTGCGAAGAGATGATTATGTCTATCTGCCGATCTCGGGTGTCTTTGATATGATAGGTCTTGACTGGCAGGGTACAGCAGTACCTTGGTGATCACGACAGCAGTAGACAGACCGTGGTGCAAAAAAGGTCGACATGCCACAAGGTAAGACAACAAGAACACATCAGTGATGTCACCGACAGCGAAACTACGGCACGTGCCAAGCCTCCGGTATGGTACACTGCTTGAACGAAGTTCCCATAAAAACACCCCCAAAAGAGACAGACGGTATGTGCCCAACTGCGAACACCACGGCACCAAACTGTACTGTGCACGAGGGCCGACGTGAACCCAAACACATTGCACGCTCCACTAATGTCGGAATATGTGTGCTGAGACAGCAACAACCAAGCTGAATCTACGAACCTCAGGGCTTTCTGCACCGGCAGCACCAGCTCATCGGCACGGTGAAACATTGAAGCGGCAGCCACGTGCTCGTCGAAGTCCGAAGGTCTGGCTACACCCACGGTCTGATTTATTGCAGCATTGCAGCATTGCAGCATTGCACCAGTCAGGCAGGAACGCAGCGCACAGACCGAGCGAGTGGATGGGGTTTCATCGCAAGTGTGAGTGGACGTGATCGGAGGTGCCCAACCGGGGACGCGTGAGCAAAGCAAAGGAATGGACGGAGAGAAAGCGGTAGCGACACGCGTATCGGATGTACGACGATCTCTAAAATAGCAATGGCACTGACTGACTACAACAGTTGTGGCATCCGACGGTAGTTCGTCGCCCAAGCTTCTCTAGGAAAACGAAAAACGAACCTCGGAACGGCTGACTGCGCTCGTAGTTCTCTTATCTCTTCGCGGAGACACGAAGCGTGACAGGGTCAAACTTGCGTTCGAGACTGCACGAGCAAAGAGCTAACCACATCCACAGGATGCAAGCGACCAAAGGGGGGCGGTTAACACAAACACAAACACAAACACAAACACCACAAGTGCCGAGCTGTACGTTGGGGTCGGAAGGTAACGAACAAACGTCGGATGTTGTTCGGAGATTTGATGTTTCTGACAGCTACATAGCTCTTGGAACTACTCACGAACGTGTGGGCGATCGGCTGCTGCGTCCACTGCCAGAGGCTGTGGAACTCGATCGGAGTTATGCCAGACTCCGCGCACGCGTCGGCGAGCACCTGTTTGTTTCATTTTGTTTGGGTTTCGAACGTGCACAGCCAGAGGGAAAGG